TTATTGACATCTATTAAAACCGACCATCTATTAACGAGATTTTACTGAATTAATAAACTTTTTTTTCTAAGTTAGATGTACAGGAGAGAAGAACTTGCAAAAATTTTCCGGATGATATAATATTAAATGCGATTGGTGTACAGAAACAACATGTAATTCAGCTTCATAGCATACTGCACTCTAGTGTTCATGAGCTANGCATTTTGAAAGGAAATATTGGGTTTGTCAATCCTCCCATGTTTTCCTTACATCTTATTAAAATACATTTGAGTAAAAATAAGCAACAACATTGATTGACAGCTCAAAAAATCTATATGTTTAAAATCAGTAAAATTTTTAATTACTTTTATTTTTAAATACTTGTTTTAATTGTAATTACTTTCGCTATTATTTTTAATAACTTTATTTTATTTTATATACAAAATAAGAAAGCTTACGTTTTTCTCATATAAATATAGATTTCATGACACAGTGACTATTTTTGGCATCAGTCATGATTTTTGCTCCGTAAAATATTCCCAACACAATCTCATTAGGGTGTGTAGCCAAATCTCTCAACAAAAAATAAGCACCTTCAAAGTACTTGTTAAGCACTCAAAAAAATATTTTCCAGCACTATAAACATTAACAAAATGCAAAATAATTTTCAAAGATTTTACATGATCATGATAAAATAACAAGTTTCCGAGAAAGAACTCTTTTTTGATTATATTAGCCACCATAAGAAGATCGAGAGATTTTTCGGTTCGATTTTAGAGGGAGGAAAATGAAGCCTGAAATTGAGAATATCTTGCAAAATGCAGCAGAGTTGCACATGAGAGTCCAAGAATTTCATCAAACCCAGCTCAGTAGACGCACGTGCGGACTCCCAACTATTTCATCAAACACGTAACAAGATTGGCGCTATCATACGTTAAGGACCGACAGTACGCCGAAATGGATTGTGAAAACTTAAAACAGAACAATGTGAAATTGAAGCTGTTGCATAATACGGAGCGAAAATCGACATAGTAAAGAAAAAAAAAATCTCATTTTCGAAAAGGGAAAATTAAGCACTTTTTAAAAACACCCCATGAAAAAAGTACCTTTAAGGACTTTTAAAAAACGAAGATCGAAAATAAGCACATTTAAGTACTTTTTAAAAACGCTACACACCATGTCTCATTAAAAACTTCCAAGTTCTGTACCGTTAAAATTAAAATCAATTGAATTATATTATAATTCTCTCCATTAATCAAACAACTCCGATTAACTCAAAAGAAACGTTTACAGTGAGCTACACGGTAAGCTATACATCGACAGGTATGAATGAAATAAAAGTATTAAAAACATACTGCCGTGCAAAAAAAAAATTCTATGAAAGCGACAAAAAAATTATACAATTGAGCTTTTTATATATTTAGCATTTTTGTTTGAAAATTCATATATTAATAAACTTTTATTTTCAAAATAAAATTTTGTTTCATCCCTTTTTTTAGAATTCTATTCTAACGTTTATAACATTAGCAATGGAAAGACATAACTTGTCAAGCCACTTTTCTCGGAATTTATTCTGAAGCAATTACGTTTTTTTTCTTCTTTTCCCCATAGCATAGCAGTAATACTAATTATTAAATATGCATGATAATTTAACATTATCGATAAAAACAAACTTTGTAAGCTTACAATCTGTAATATTTCTTCAAAATTAATAATAATGTACTTATTAGATTCGATGATAAAAAATAAGTTAAAGTACAATTTTGAATAGCATATAGAGCTCTAACCATTAATCGAAATATTGGCAATCAACTTGAAGCTTATGTAAATAAAGTAATCAGAATCACAAGATTTTATTCGGCGGCCTAGGCCTTCGATGCTTATCATTGCCTATTAAATTGATACATTTAAAAAAAATTTTATTATCAAAGGAATTACTAGTTCTATCTGTATTTGAAATACAGTTAGTTTTATCTTTGTTAAATTTGCATAAAATAAAAGCTTTGATATTTAGCCGTGCAGAGATTCAAAGCTATCCAATTCATAATAATACAATTAAGGAGTGTTTGGAATTGTTTCCCATTTTTTCATCGAAAAAATTACTCATTATTCCTAAAAAATTATTCCAAAAACTTAAATAATTATGAAAAATGATATGCACACAGTGTACCAAAATAATTATCTGACACTTAAAAATTCCGATGAAGGGAGTTTTAAACTCCACAGATAAACGCAAATCAAGGTATTAAAAATTTACAAACATAAGACTATATTTCTAAGTAGAGTGAAATTTAAATACACTTTATGGATAATTCAAAAATCAAACTGAAGCAAAAAGAGAACTTAAAAGCTTAAAAAGGAGTTATTGTTATTTAAAAAATAATTATACGAGTAAAAGTTTTTTCTCCAATTTCAGACTATCGAATGAAGAAAAGATTTACTTTTGTTAAAAAGAAAGTTAAAATAAAAGGCACTTCTACTTATAATAAATTCAAAGAAGTAGAGATCCTCAAGTTTTAACCAATGAATGTTATCGAATATTTATTGTGACTTTTATATATTGTGATGAGACAGAAGAAACTTGTTTGCAAAAAAGTTTCTTGTTGGCGGGGGAAAAAAAAATAAGTGCAAGCTTAAAAAGGAGAGCTAGGCTCAGAAGAGTAAATAAGCTTTGGACGAGTTGAATTCTTCGAAGCGGAACGAGTGTAAAAATATTGGATCGTGCAGCGTCGCGACACAATCTAAGCAGAGAGAAAAGCGAGTATCTCTAGGACGAGTGCAGACCAGCGTTACAAACAATTACTACGCGAGAACATCTCTTGAGAAAGAAAAAACTTTTTCCGAACAATTCTTGACTGCGACAACGGCTTTATGCGTTATGACAGTAATTTATGAGAAAGAACTTAAGTACACAGTTTTTTTTTCTTTTGCCCCACCCCACCACCCATTTTTCGAAACACCCTTCGTATCTCCGGCAAGAAAAGCGATGAAAAAGTCTGAAGCAAGAAAACGCGTCTTTTGAAAGGCTTAGTCAGCTACGGAGCAAGTTGCTGACAAATCATGGCGAGCAATCGCTCCTTCACAACAGTCTAATTCTTTGTGATTAGTGCAGAGTCGCCAATAGATGCATAGAGGCCACTCATGCATACACGGAAAAGAAGTCTTCTTTTTCTTGAAAGAGTGGGGGGATTTAATCCTCGCTCATGATGCACTAGCGGCACTCAGTAATCCCAACATCAACAATCAGATCCCGAACCGTGGCTTATCGGCGGGCCCCGGCGCCCGGAACACGCGCTAGATTTCACAGGGCCTGCACACTGAGCTCATTTCTCACAACAGTGGGCACAGGGGCGGAGAAGAGCCCCACTCTCTCGGGGGAGGAATTTCAATAGATTAGAGGTAAAGAATTTTTTTTCTTCCTGGAGTAGAGCCCTGGTACAATAGGTATGCAGGCAAAGCGCAAACTAATGCCATGGTACGAGAAAAAGGAAATCATTAAGATGGGGGCGTTACCTGGCATTTTGAAAAGAAAAGGTAGAGGGGGGATGACATCTCAGGTGCGGGGAAACAAAACTTTTCTTCACTTCTGTTCAATCCCTGTTCGATACGATCAGAAAACAACAAAAGAAAAAAAAAATTTGTAATACTTCTACAAATGAGGGAAAAGATGGGAAAGGGCTCTTCGAAATGAACTGTTATTAATGTAAGACAGTGCGATTCTAACATAAAAAATTATACTGAAATCCTTTTCATAACTTTTACTGGGCCCCTAAACTTCACATTTATGAAAAGCTAAAACAATTACAAGCTTTAAATCCGTAATTATATTAAATAGAATGGAGAATTATTGAATAAAGAAAACATTTAAGGAAAGTTGAAGCTTAAAGTAAAAACAGTCAGTAGATTAAAGTAAAAACAACCATTAAATAACGAAAGGTCACATAATCAGCTAAAAGATAAACCTAAATGTCAATCAGTAAGAATAACAAAAGTCAAATTTTCAAGAAACTAAGTTAATCACTTTCCTAAAACCAATGCTATTTCGATAAACACGAAAGTACCGAATTCTGTGTTTTTTCTACAAAGTTTAGAACAATGTATCCAAATTGCTGACGTTGACAATTATATATATATATGTATATTTATTTTTAAAATTAAACATCAGAAAAAGTTTTATTTTTAATTAAGACCAGAGTACATCAACTATTCGGTATTTAGGCTATATGGCGATTATAGTTATATAATATATTGCATTTTGAAGAATATAAAAAAATATTTCAATTTCTTGAATGTTAAGTAGGGCTGAATATTTCCTCATTCAATAATCGGATAGATTTACTTTCAAATGCTATAAACAGACGACTATATTTGAAAATAATAAGTATAACTTTTTTTTACATAAAACTATACAATAAAGAATATTTTTAAATAAAACAATGCCCTGAAAAGCTTCAAAAAATTATGGACTAGGCCGCCTAAAATGAACTTAAACTTGCACAATTTTAAAAATGATACACATTCATTAAAATTATTAGAGAAAAAAATACCGACTCAGCTCTACCTATGACGGTATTCAATTACAGACAAACAGGAAAAGTTGAGATTTTGCTTTGAATTTGGAGTCATAAAAAAGAAGAAGAAAAGTCATTTATAATGTATTAACAATGTTATTTAGAAAAATGAACATTAATTAAATAGCAGAATAAATTAAGAAATTTATAGCACTTACCCTAAACTTTAAGAACTGCGAGAGAAACCAAGCACCCTCAAATCAATGTGTTTTTTCTTACAATTTACTTTATTTCAAAATAGATAGACGAGCTCCATTATTTTTAAAAATAATATCAACATAGAGAGTATGAAATATATATGGTAGATTTATAATTATTTAAAAAATTTGAAGATTGCTTGGTGACTCATGTCCAATAATAAACGAACCGAAATAATAAAGACTCACCTTGATTTTTAAAGTAACAGTCAAGAATGAAACTAGTAACAGATTTACAAAAATCGACACTCACACTCACCTGGTCGATGGGACAGCCGGAACTGACCAAGATGTTTTGGGACTGGGCCAAAAGGACTTGCAACAATTTTTCTTTAACATCATTAGCGCTATGAAGCTTAGGTCGGCTATATAATGAGAGACAATCCAAAAATTACAAAACATAATTATTGAAAACAAAATAAAGAAAAACTTATTTAATAAATATTATGAATACCAACCTCCATTTTTTAAAATGTAGAATATTCACTACAAAACAGCAGAAGAAATTACTTAAAATGCAGAAAATTTTACGCACTTTTTATTCCTTGTTCAAAGAATCAATAATAGTTATTGAATATCAGAATATAATGTTTTAATACGATCTGCGCAAATAAATCTGAAGATCAAATACTTTTTGTACTACTAGATGCTTAGCATTGTATATTTTGTGAACAAAGCTGAAGCACGTCTGAGTCTGAGTCATCATATAATAAAACAAACATTTTCAAAATGCAAAAGAGTTGGCATCAATGAATATAGATTTTTAATTTCAACATTTAAGGTACGAACATAAAAATTTCCTTCATTTAAAACAGAATAACTAAAGGCTGACAATCCCTAACAAAAAACTTTTATTTATACGAATATTTAACAATCCCATTTGTTTCAACGAGTACGCAAATTACAATAATAACTGAAAGAATCCAAGTGAAAAAGTACCAAAAGGTAATAGAATGTTTAGTTATTGTGAAAGTATAACATTTTTGTAAAGTGTAAGAATAGCATCGTTCCTAATTTAGCTTCAAACTAATATTCGCTCTTTAAAATGAATAACTTAAAATTAAAAAAATATTTTTTTGTTTTAAATTTCTCACACACTAACACTAAAAAAAAAAACTTGATACAGGGATTGAAACAGTGAAAATAAAATACAATTGTACGAAAAGTAAAACTTTAATATAGCCAAGTAGTGCTCGTAATCTCTTTTTAGAAACAGTAATAAAATTTCATCATAAGCTTATATCACTTCCCCCCCCAAAATAAATGACTTTAAATTACTCCTGTCTTTTAATAACGTAAAAAGCATTCGGTTTATATGTAGTGCTTTTTATTTTCAAGTCGAATCAAAAGCAATTTTTGAGCAATATTCAGATGAAAAAAAAACTAAGCTTGTTTCAATTTTTATATATTAAATGATTAGCATTCAGCAAATATTTTAATGAATGCAAGATAACAGCAAAGATTTTTAATAAAATAAAAACAACTATTTGAATAATAGCAATTGTAACGTTGTTTTGTTTTTTTTTCAATCTTACACAAGTAAAATTTTTGATAGTTTTTTTTTATTCTCATATCACATAAAGTTTTAAAATTTGTTCAAATTGTTTGACTTTTCAAGATAATTTTTTTTTTCTGGAGCAATCTTTTAGAAATTTTTCAATTGATTTCTACAACATCTACGTTTGAAAATCAATATTTAATGGAAAAATTACTACGTACATTAATAAAGTGCGACTGGTTAATAACGTGCATTGAGTTAGCCATATGGAGCTTGCCTTACTCAAATGAATATTAATCCGTAGAAATTTTGACAAAATACAATTTTTTTAACACTCTTATATCCAGATTTCCAATTTATTTCACCAATACTTCAACTACACGGCATTCTTTTGTATTTTAAGCATGCACGCTGAATTCTAAATACTGTGGCTCTCTTTAGACTCCTAAAATTTGTGGATTTACAAAGTTATAGATCCTACCAACAAAGTGCAAAAGTAGAAATGCTGTTCAAGTAAGAAAAAAATATATCCGATGTGTAAGGAGATGTTTTGGTAGTAAGTCAATGCCAAAACTGGAGTGCAAATTTCAAATTCTGCAAAATTTCGATTAAGATGCATCAGTTTAAGACACAATAAAGGCATTAATTGATACAAATCGGCGAATGAGACATTAGGTTGATCGAATCTACCATGCATGATCATTTGAAAAGCCTAACGTTTAATCTTAAAGCTCGACATATGGATTTTTGTATGTTATCAAGAAAATGAAAATTATCCATTTTTGTAGCGTATCAACATTATTTACAATAATGTTGGGGCCTCTACAAAATTTTTTAGATGGTAAAATCCTTACTTTAAATAAAGAGGTCAAAAATCATTTGGATCAGTTTTTTTTTTTGCCGCCAAAGAACAAACATTTCAGAATCATGCTACGATCAGAAAGAGAGAGCAAAACAGATAATGGACCAGAATGAACTGGGCAATATTTGATTCAATATAATATTTATTCATTATAAGAAAATAGCTTTTCCTTAAAAAAAGAGATGAAAAGAAAAAGCGAAATTTTTTTCTTCTGAACAACTGAATAGAATAATTATAAAAATCAAGTACCTAGCAGTTTTTAGTTCACTTCGCGTTCATGAAGGATTATTAACATTCATTAATATGGTTAAACTAAAAAACTTAGCTTAAGTTTTCGTAATCCTCTGTTTTCCAAAAATTAATAAATTGATGTAATTTTAGAAGTCATTTTTAGAAGTTTAAAGCCATTTTCATGAAAATCTCGCAATCTCGTGCCAAAACTGTTTTAATGCATATTAAAAGATTATAAAAACATCGAATTAAAATATGTAAGCTAATAAGAAACAATATTTTAAATTTTGAGAAATTGATGAAAATGAAATTTCCTTTATTACTGATGCATTAATTTTTTCAATATTTTTAAACTTATCTGAAGTTAAATTTTTTTTTAAAAAAATTCATTAATCAGAAAATGAATGGAAATAAAATCAGCGAAACACATTTTTTACTTAATTATAAATATTTTATAATAACATTTAAAAGACATTGGACAAATTATTTTAAACGTTTACTTTCAATTAAAGTATGAAATTAAATATTTGCTTAAAGTTTGTTTTCAGCTAATTCAGTTAATGAAACAATTAAAGAGAGATTTGAATAAAATTCTTCTAAATTGAAGAAAAAAATTAAAAAGTGTTGCTAATTTTATTTTATTTTTTGGATTTGAATAAGATGAAAAAATTCCAAAGAACTGTACTGGCAGAGCTAGACTTGACCAAAATTTCCAAGCGTTAAAAGAAAAAAAAGAGGAAAAGTTTTTCAGTTAGAATTTTTAAATCTGTGTAAAAAAAGATCACATTTCATGAGCCTATTGCTTTGTAGAAAGAAACTACATTACATAACTATTCAAAAAATATATATGCAAATTTATGTTTTGTCTTAAAAAGCGCTTGACATTTAGTTTGAAAAAATTTTTTCTTCAAAAGATTACTTGAAAGCAGCATTATAAAACCAGCCTTCCCTTAAATTTAATCTAAAAAAAATTTCAATTATTCATCTGAAAACATATTTTTCCTAAATCAACATAATTTTGACAAATTTGTTCTTTGGATTTGAAATAAATAAAAAATTTAAAGAAGATTTTGTAATTCACAAAAAATGATATTTTATCAGGAAGAACTAAGAAGACATAAACAAATTAACCAGATTTTTTTTGAAGTTTTAAGTGTATTATAATAATAAGGTTCGTCTTATCTTTATGAATTATAAAAAATTTCTTAACTTTTTTTTTAAAGAAAAAAGAGAAGATAAAGTCTCGCTTCAAGCATAGATGAGCTTTTCGGTAAGAGTCCCTTTAGAGTACCAGCAATAAATTTTAACTTAAACTTTCTTTCATTTTATCCCCGATTTTTTCTTGCTCCCTTGGTGTCCACAGCAAGGTTTTTAAATGGCATGAGAAATTTTTTAACGCCAAAATTTCCACATGCGAGTTTTTTTTTTCTCATTAGCAAATTCCAAAAAGCTGGGCATCGAAAAATCACAATTATATGGAAATATTTTTTGCTTTAAGCATCTAAATTGAAAAAGACCGAGAGATATAAATAAAAAAAGGGTGGGAGGAGGTGGAAGATAAAAAAAAACCTAAAGAAATGGAAAGATGCAGCGCTTAATCTCTAATTAATTTGAGACAGATAACACACAGTATCGAGCAATACTTTCTCTAAGCCAAGTAGCAAAGTTATTAGAAAAACGTACAAGATTTTCGGCCGTCGAAGGAGAACAAACTCTTTCCGAGCTAGCGATTTTTTAAATTTTTTTAAGACCCACGAAAGAGAACTCTTTATTAAATACATTTCCCCCAATTAAATTTACTTTAAAGCGGGGGGTATATATTCAATTCATATCCCCCTACTTCTTCGTCTAGATGAGAAAAAAAAAGGGTGGAAAATCCTTTTTCTAATAGCTACCACTAACTTTAGTATTAAAAACTGAAAAATAATGTAAGTAATGATTAGTGAAGGCTTTTTACAATAGGGAAAGAAATGGGAAAAAAATAGAGGGAAAAAAAGGGGCACTCATAGTGGTGGGGAAGAAGGCGAGATCGTAAGCATAGAGTTTTCTCACCGATGAAGAAAAGCAGGATCGGTTGGGGAATAAAAGAATGAAAAATACGAAGTCGAATAAGAGAAATATCAAATGAAGGGGGGTGGGGAAAAAATGTTGTCCTTAGTTTTCTTTCTTAATGAAGTACAAGCGTCGATCATCAAAAATAGAAAAAAAAAAAGGAATAAAAAAAAACATAATACAATAAAAAGTTTGACTTCAATTAAACGGAGAATGCTGGTTATGAGTGGGTATAGAGATATTTCATCCACCCGTGAATGATGCATATTTTTTTCTAGATTTTTTTCATTTTTATTTATTTATTTTTTTTAAATTTTTCAACTAATTCAGTAGACTTCTCCGCGTAGGTTAATTAGAAGACGCAAAACGTTCAGATATCATTTATGATTAGTTGTTTGATAGAAATTAATATGGAACAATATGTTCGCTTTTTAACGGGGTCCGCCTTTTGAAATGAAAAATATTACAGAGGAAAAAAATTACTCCTTAATCCATGTGAAATGTAAGATCGAAATGAAGAATTGTGTTCTCTGTTTTTTACCTTTTAATTTCAAATCAAGAAAAAATTAATTAGTAATTTTTTTATAGAGTTTTTAGAGTGAAGATTTAAATACATATGGAATGCGTCTACATTTTTTATTCAATAAATGATAAACAGAGACATTGTTTTTTGTTATTGACAGAAAGCATGTTTAAAATCAACATTACACCGAATTTCAAATATACGCTTATTAATTTCTATCCACATTTTCAAAAGTCTTATGATATTAATGAACGAGTGCCCTTAAATGTTTTATAAACTTAAAAAAAAAAAAACATAATTAAAATGGACAGTCAATATTTTTGTAAATAGGTAAGGTAAAAGTTTAACAACTGAATACATGGAAATAATTATAGGCCACCAGAAAAATGTTAGTCTTACAACTTGTATAAATAGATCGATAATAGCACTTTAATAATAAATTTTAAAGGCTAAAGTAATAAAAGAAATAACAAACTTAATTGCGAATAACGCATATAACTAATAATAATATATAATAATGTGTAAAAATTAAAAATATAAAAACAAAACAGGATTCGCATTTCCAACTTTAGTACATAATATTTTTATTTAAATGATTAGATTTAAAATATATTAAATAATGAGAATAATGTCACACAAATGCGAGAAAACTAATTTGTTCAAAACTTTTATTATTATATTAAGAATTAAATAGTAGCCAGTAATTGTAAATGAATATTATTGTTTAAATTGGAGAAAAAAAAATTCGATAGTTGAGATTTTCAATTGAAATTCTGAAAATTCCGATTATGAATACTACATTTGATTAAAACAAAATTAGGCTAAAAACCTAAGTATATATTAACAGGTATTATGCAAGCGTTTAACGGATACTAAGAAAGAGCTTTTTAATCTTTTCCTCTGTTCAGTACTTGAGAAACTATGCATAAATCGTGCTGTAAAATCTTTAATTAATAATCTGATTCCTGTTAATCGCATCCTAATGTCACATCAAACATTATTTTGTTAATTATCACAAGAAGAGGTCCTTAATTTAGATTTCGTTTCTACTTCTAATATTATTGCCCTATTAGAATCAACATTTAAGGGGAGTAAAGTTTTTACTCGTCAGATTACTTTCCGGCATTTAGTTTCTAACACCGTTTCTTAAAATAAACACATAAATATAATATCACCTACCCTCAAAAACAAGCTATAATAATCATCTTAACTGTCAGAACATTTCTGTATATCATACTTTCGTTTTTAGGAACCTTTGTTTTGACTTCTTCCGAATTTAAATTACTCCGCTCGATCGGATTTAGTCCTTCTATTGTTGTTTCAGCTGTTGCTTAACTCATTACACTCAAACGCCCCCTTTCTTCTATCATTATGAACTTAATAATTTTGCTAATATCCTCCACCGTTTTAAAGTAATTTATAGGCCTGTTAACAAAATTAAAAGATCCTATCAATCATGATAATCGCCGGAGCATTGTCAGCAAGAAAACAGAATTTCTACACCTTACTCCACTGCCCTCTAAATATCTCTTTTAAATTATTCAAGCGAATCAAATAAATTCGCAGCACACTCTTTTATTTAAATAAAATAAATTATTCAAAATCAAAAATAATGTAAATAAATTTTTTTTAAAGATCTAACTTAGTAATGACGGAAAATGCTTTGATCAGTATGGAGAAAAAAATTTCATTGCATTTTAAACTATGTAATTTTAAATAAAAAAAAATTAAAAATTGGGCTAAATAGTTACTAATAAATAGACTAAATAGTTACTGAAAAAATAAAATTTGAAAAAAAAAAAGTTTTATTTTTACATTTTGAGAACATGAGCATGATCTCAAGAACTACATGACCAACTCCGTTCGCATTTTAAATTTTTTAACTGAAAATTAAGCTGTACACTTAACACTTCAAAAATGCTTAGGCCATTAATAAATTAAATATTAAAAAAAAGTTATTCATAAATATATTTTTAGAAAGACATTTCCCTTTGGAAAAACAGATTTTATTTTCATGATAAAAAGTTAAAAATGTTTTGGTTTGCTTAAATAATTTTAGCTCTATGACGAAATAGACAAAAAGTGAATGTAGTATTAACAGATTAACTAAAATTTCAACTAGACTGCAAAACTACTGGGACTATAATTTCCAGATTATTACCATCTCCCCTATTTTGGATCAAAATTCCTAATTCGTTGAAAAATAGGCATGTTTAAATAGAGAGAGTACCTGCACTAATTAAATATAATATTTAAGGTCAAACCCTCATACCATTCAGATCTAAATCAAAAATTTTTTGTCTTTAAAGCACACAGCGTTTAAAAAAAAATCATATTTTGTTAAGTAACTTTTTACAAAACTGTAGTTCTCGAGTAATATAAGAAAAAATATTATAAACTAAAATAATAAATTACAACATGTCTTAATTAACCAAATTTTAACAGGATATTGCATACAACTGATTAGATTCTCACGTGACGCATAAAATTAACTGTTTCAAATAAATAAATAATAAATTTTGTAACTAAGTGTACGTTCGTACTATTTTATGCATGTTTTGTTTCTGATTTACCTTCACTAAGATGAAATTTAGTCCGCTTAAAGATATTTAAAAAGAAAACTCGAAAGATAATGCCGAATAACAGAAAAAAAAATTCGTTTTTTTTTCCTTTTGGAATTCTAATAACTTTTTCACAAAATATAAAAAATTTCCCAATACAATAAAACTTCCCCATCCAATACCCACAAAAATAGAAAATTAAAATCTTTACTCATCCTAAAGTTATATTAGGGTTACATTAATAAGTTGTAATTTGTTGAGAGATACAAATAGAATTTTTCTTGAAGTTCTTAAAATTTTCCTTTAAAGCATAAGCGCTAATGGAGAATGGCAAGAAAAAATATGAAATTGCAACACGTTATTTTTTTTAATAAAATAGTAGTTTAAAAATATTAGTCTAAACATGCACAACAGTCAGATATTTGAAGTTAAAAAAAACATTTCTCAGAATTTCTTCATAGAAACGAATACTTTGCAATAGTTAAGTATCGTGTTAAATATTCCATACACAGAAAGTATTTTCGTCTAGAATATATATAAATAATAAGGATTCCGGTAACAAACAACAATTTTTATCGTATCTTGACAAAAAAAAGGTATCAACTAAAATTAATTCAAAAAATTATGAAAAACATTCTAAAGCAAAGAAAAATTATACAAGTTCAATTGTTCTTAAAAATTGCACATTCTCAAATAACAATTTATATAAGCCTTTTTTTCAAATTTCCAAACGACACCGAAATTAGAAAATGAACTATTACGTTAAAATTCAAATAATCTTTACCTTATCAAAATTTGGCCATTGCTGTTTTAAGCTTATTAATCTTCTATATTGCATATATAGTTATAAATAGTATAGCCTTACGTTTTACTGTGCACAAAATAAAAATATCTCCTTGGATAATTTTTGTTCTAATGGTCAGATTTTCATTAACTATGTGCTAATCTTAATGGTTCAAAAGGATGACTTATGCTAACGACAAGTAAGCCAAGTTCGATTAAATTTCAATTAGGTTACAGAAATAGATGTAAAAACGCACTTTCACTGATTAAATATACCTTTTTTTTTCAACGATTTAGATTATCAACCATCAATCTAGAAAATATGGTCCCAATAAAATGAAAAAAATAATTTAATAATTTTAATTATTTTCTTTTTATATTATTTAAAAAGGTGCTGTTAAAATAGTGAATTATAAGGTATACAAATTTCGACATCATTTAGCATTTTTGAACCATTACGAACGGCACTTGTTTCGTAAGGAAATGATGAAATAATTTTAAAATAACTTGATCAAAATTACCTATAAAGTCGTATCCTAAGGGTAGCCACTGTAGAGAGTTCGCCCAATATATCTCCAACAGTAGCTTCAGGGGATTCTGTAATTTGATCAAATGTAAGAGGTTTCCAATTTTTTAGCTGAATAGCACCTGTAAACAACAAAAACAATTTACTTATAATAGGTAGAACATTTGATTAAAACAAAACAGAGGTATGTAACTACATATAACGGTGCGATTAGCTATTTTGTACCCAGTAAAATCCCGATAATCCAAGTATCATTAACTTAGTCGCTAAATACAAGTCGCAATTTTAACCTGCTTTGAAATTGAAAAAAAAGAGGCTTTCTCTAATTGGCAATTAAAATGCTTCATAAAAAATGATTACTCTAATATACGATTCCAATATTGATTACTCTAATTCCCAGGAATTCTAATACATTGTTTAACAATGGTAACCGAATTACGAATCATAACATTAGCTGATGGATTCTGTTCTCGACTCCCACCTACAGCAGTGCTGATGTAAAATATCCCCATTAGTTGACGGATCATGAGTTCGGATCTTCTTCGCAGCGAGCTAACCGTAGTAGGTGCCCGAGGTTTTCCTCCTCGTATAACACAAATGCGAGTTAGTTCTACCAGAAAATTTTATTCGAAGGCGAATTTTCTCAATGCTTAAGACAGAAGTTCGTTTGTCTTTTGGGCTAAGTTCAAAATTTCAAGGATACAGTTATTCAACGCCTGTAATAAAATTGAAAAATATACGAAAGGATCGCAAATTTGTAGAACCAAAATTCGAGGAAATTTTGAGATTTAAAATTTAGTGGGAATACAAATGCTGAAAAAATATACAACATATGCATTGAAAGGCATTGACATGATACATATAATAAAAGAGAAACACTTAAAAAAACTGAAAAATTGTTTTAATTTTATGCATTACTAATATTCAACTGAACAAAACACATTTTTATACTTCGAAAATGATTGTCAATGTACAAATATCGAAGTTTGGGTTAGTGTCACAACAGAAAATAAGTTCCATAAATTTATTTCAAACTAATACATTTCTCAATTGAATAAACATCGTGCTGAACTGAATCAGAACCACTCTGTTTTGCTTACAACGTTAGGTTCGCGTTAAAGTTTGATTCCAAAACTGGACATTTCCCTTAAATAACAATTTAAGACTACGCAATTTACTTACAGTAAGGCAATTTATTGGTAATAAACGCAGTAAGAGTGCATCAAACATCGTGAAAATAAATATTATTTTTACAAACAAGTGAAAGAATTTGAATAAAATGAAATATATTGCATTAAAAGCAACTATTATTTAATACAACTTGTTTTAACAAACAAACTGTCTTACACTATTAGTCTGTGGTTTTTATTTAGATTGCTTGGAGAAGAAAGCAAGTAATAATAGTCTAACTTTTCTTACTTGATTAACTTAATGATAGATTAAAAAAAAGCCTTTTTGAGCTTATTTTAAGGCATGAGAAATTATTAACAGACGTGAAATTAAAAAAAATTAATAAATAAACAAAAATAAAATATTAAAAAACAAGTACTCTGATAACGATTAGCATTAATCAATTAATATGTGGTTTTCCTTTTAATAATTTGAGAAAGAAAGCAAGTAATAGGTAAATCTCGGATATTTTTTTTAAATCACGGCCTTTGTGATTTAGTTTAAAAGCTTCAGAAGTTAATAGCAGCAGTAGAAATAGCGTAAAAATACGTATTATTTTTACACTCTTTACATTCGTGCGTTGTTTTTTCTTCTTTTTTTTAATAATTATTTTTCATTAATTTATTCATTTATCTTGCCATCAAAATTTTGATTATACGGGAAAAAAATTAGATCCCTATTAATTTACTACTCATTAAGTTTTTCCATTTGAAACACTTAAAAATAAATACACAAGTGGGCGACTTTTGCGCTAAAATACAAACTAAGGTAGACAACGTTAAAGAGCACAAAAAAGTTAGTTATCAGTTTTTGTGCTCTGTAACGTTGTCTACCTTAGTTTGCACTTAAAAATAGTTTTTCTCAAAATATCCGATTTGGAAAATATTTCTTCAGATACACAATTTTAATACTTAATGATATTTCTTCAATGCGATCGCGATTAAATTCAAACTTTAAATAATGATTTTTTGATATATTTTTAAAGTTTCAAATCAGAGTATCTTCAGTTGGTTCTCAAAAAGTGAATTTTTATGTATATTTTTTCCGTTATTATTAACTCAGATATATTTTTGTAATGAACTTTAGCAATACTGATCAAAAACAATGGCAAAATTATTGATAAATGAATAAATAAAATAAATTGTAAGTTTTTTTAAATTTTTAATTATTTTTTCCTGAAATACAGTTATTAAATTGTATTATTAGAAGAAGTATGAATTATAAAATTCAGTCAAAAATTAAAGACTTGATTTAACTCTTTAAATTACACGAGATTAAAATATTTTCATAACGAAATCTATTTTTAAAATAAAGATTGATCTAACAAGAGATGTGTACCCAAAGTATCACTCGTTACACGTATTTTTTTCCCCTTTCATTTCTTACAAAAAAAAAAAAAAAAAAAAAAAAAAAAAAAAAANAAAAAAAAAAAAATCAGGATTCATATATAATAAAATTTATTTTATCTATTGCGAAGTAATTATTAAGTTATAAATTATCAAAAAGATATAAATTTTTACCTTGAATACGTCGCTAAATTCTATTTCTCTCATAGATGAAAATTACTTGAAGTCTATAAGACTTATCACCTTAAAAAAATTCATTAATTCTATATTTTAAGGATAAAACTAAAAGATTAAATTTCTAAACTATAATAGAAATTCAATTGTTTTGAGCAATAAATTTGATTATGACTCTCTTCTCTGATGATGATACAAATCTGCATTTTACAAGTATTATCTTTCCAGATAACAAATTATTTTGTGAATTAGAACTCTAACGAGAAATCATTTGAAATTTTATTAAATTTTTTTTAAATATATTACCGTGATTCGTCCATTTATATTTCTGAGATTCTTAACAAATTTGTTAATTAAACTTACATTTTTGTGTTAGTTTATTAAAAATGATTCAAAATACACTCTAAAATAAAATGAAAGAAAAAGCTATCTAACAAGAATTTTTTTTTCTTTTAACATGTAATAGATATTAATATGAATTTGATTCAGTTAAACGTTAAAAAATTTATACTGTTACTTTCAAATTTGTTTCCATATAACTGCCGAGAGTAGACACAATATTGAGTGCAAATATTATTAAATGTTATGTACAATCTAGAAAATGATTACATAATTGTTACATTTGATAAAAAAAACTTCAAATAAAAGTACATAATTTATTAAACTAAAGTTGATTTTTATCAATGACAAAAGCAAGATGTCATTCTAGAACAATTAAACGAAAGTTTAAGAGCTGCACTAACAAACATTAAAACTCTAGCTTGATAGAGATAGAATAATCTCCTCCATGTTAGTAATCTTTCTGATAAATTTAAAAAATTTTAATTTTAGAACACATGCTTCAGAAAGTGAAAAAAGTACTTTTTAAGTACTAGTTGGAAAGGGTTATATAGTTTTTACAGTTTATTTTTTTATAAATAGAACATTAATTGTGCTCTGTTTAAAATTATGAATAAATCAAAACAGTAAGGAAATTTCTTAGTTAAAACCACTCATATTAAAAAAAGCTTCTTAGCTATTGCTAATAAAAGAGAAACCTTTAATAGACAGGGTGAGCAAATACTCCAAAACTACTTCAAATTTTTGAAAATTCAAATCATGAGTCACAAATATACTACATTCGCAATCAACAAAAATGGTAGGATATTAAAAGAAAGTTACCATAAACCATTTTGAAATTGAAAATCGAAATAAATGTTTCCACGAGTACTAATTAATGGTTCATACATTTAAAAATGGATGATGAGTCGCTCTTTATAGAACAATTTCATTTCTATTAAGAATAATTATTTTCTTTTCAATTCAAATCCCCTTATTTTTTTTAACGAAAATATAAATAAAACAAACAAATAAATAAAAACAATCCAATAAACACTTTTATTATTATGAATTTAATCATTTAGTAACTAGTTTCATTTTGGAAATTAAAATTTTTTTTACAGATTTCCTTAAAAAAACATCTATAAGTATAAGTAACACACAATATATTACATATTTTTTATCTAGAGAATATTTAGATGTTTTATACACCAACAAAAATCACTAACACTACATAGACACTATAAGATAAAATTCCTCCTGGTAAAAGTTCTACGGAGTTTTAAAACATTTTTTTCTCAGTTTTATAGATTTAGTACGATTAATTAACGCAGAGAATTAATTTTAAAAGATAATATTAGAGGGAAGACAAATCAATAAATTCCTATTCATATAAATGTACATTCTAAACATATCAATAGAGTAGGATAAAAAAAATATTTTGCTAGGGCTAGAAGCTGAGTTCGATTTTTTTTTTCTACTATAAATGAAAATATTTTTAAGAAAAAGTTTTTTTTTTTCCAGTGAGATTTCAAATTTTAGTAAATTTATTTTCAAACAAAAAGTTTATTACTAAAATTTCTTAATAAATTATGTTATATTGTAAATAAACAAATTCTTCTGATAGAAACGCGGTATCAACAAATCACATTAATCGCAGTGGGCAAAGAATAAACAGAGGTGAAATTATTTAATGAGGCGCAGTGTTCCGGAAAGAGACTGTTAAAGGGGTCAATTGAGAGAAGGGGAGTTCAAAAAGCTTCTGCCACAGGATACTTCATTATAGGTTCAGAAAAGTCAAGTCCTGGTCGCCATTTAGAAAAGCATTAAAGGCGAGAATAACAGTCAGAACGGGAAAAGAGAGCCAATTACCATAACAATGCCTGTACTAATGAGAGAAAAGAGACAAGAAAAGGGGAAACTATAATCTGGCACCTACTCCATCAAAATGCTTAGAGTACCCTGAGCGTCTTCTTCGGAAGAGAAAATGAAGACGTTTTCCTTATCCAATAGAAAACCTGGAACCGCGTAATAGAGGGGAAAACGCGGGCAAAACTTTTTAATCAGCTTTCGCAAAGTCCGCGTGCGGCTTCTAGGGCCCGAAAAGTTTCAGT